GTAATACGTTCATTTTAAAATCATTATATTCTATGTAAATCTATGCGCTTTATATGATTCTATGTTATTAGAAAAAATTATATACAACAAGAGTTCATCGCATAAATCAACTAGTATACATTGTTTGACGAACATTTGAATAGACCAACCACACTGAACCCACTGGACATCGAAGTACCAAAAAAACAAACCCATCAACAATAACGCTGCCTAACATTGAACGAGTTGACAGTATTATCAAACAAATCAATAACAGTGAAGCAGAGAAATAGGTGAGCTAGATAATCTACGCTGTCTTCAGTAAGATAAAGGAGTATAAGTGTTTCACCCGACTGTTTGTTTGATCACAACACCCAACCTCGAAATCAGTAGGCTGGATTTCGTACGCATAAATCGACCGAATGGTGATACTATGGATTATTATTGAAGTATTCATCGAATGAAACGTATCACTATATGTCAAATTCATTTATAAGAAACGATTCCAGGGTGTGTAGAAGATTGTGGAATAGTCCACAATATAAATGAAGATTGAAGCACAACTATCAGAAAAACACATATTAATAAAGGTGATCATTGAAAAGGAGTATAACATTCTTAATATTGTGAAGTATGTTTGATTTAACCTCTGCCCCTTCGCCTTACGACCATTCAAAACATCCTCCTATACGCATGATGAAAAGTCTACTTCTAACGAATACCGTAATTTTTTGAATTTGGTTAAAAAATGCCATTTTTATTACCCTGATCATGATGTCTTGCGTCTTGAGGTGTTTGTAAAATGCTGAAAAAATGCTTGGTGAATTTTGATTTGATTTAAGTTTTAAATACTAAAAAACGCTTTTTTAAATTCTAAAGTCATATTTGGTATTCTTTGTTACATGTTTTCCGGAGGACATTTTCTTTATGCTTTCCAGTAGAAATTGGGTCTTTTTTATGATTAAGTATATGAACAAGTGGAATGTATGAGTTGGATCTCATCAGAAATTGTCTGACAAACTCTCGATCTGTTTTGAATCCAGCAAACAAAAAACACCTATACAAATAGACTATTCTGTAGCTAATCGAAACAGACACACGAAATAATAGGATCATGAGAATAAAACTTTGTTATCGAATTCAAAAAATTACCGTATTCGATGGAAGTAGGCTCTTTATCATATGTTTAAGAGAATATGTTAGTATTGGTCGTAAGGTAAAGGGACAAAGGGTAAATCGAACATACCACACCATTAAGTGTGATTCTACTTTTCAATGATCATCTCTATTAACAGGTGCCTTTTTGATAGACCCTTTTTTAGCGTATGCCTTTTTAAATGGATATCCTGATAATCATCCACTTATTATCTTCGTTTTTAAGCTTATTAACTTTGATGTTTGAAAATATTCTACACGTAATCAAATACGTAAACGAATACAGTACTCTTAGACAGTTAATTCAGGATCACATTTTAGTTACAGTCCGTGATATATATATATATATATATATATATATATATATATATTATTGACAAGAAGAATATTCACAAACACATTTCAATAGGTAGTTTTGTGATCTACCTACTTATTTAAAAATTAAGACGATCAGAACTTCAAGTAATTGAAAGAGCTAAGATTACCTGTTATCAGTGAATCAGCAACAATCCATTTAGGATGAAATCCTCATTAGGATTAGGCTCGTACTGCATGATAAATTAATGCGCTTAACCGATTTGCTTTTAAATAAAGGTCATGTTGCATAAAGTTCTTTATAATGTGGATACTAGCGAATCACGACAATCAGTCAATCATAAACAATGTAGATTACAACCAGGTAAAGCCCATTTATCAAAACTGCCGGGTATACAAACAATAACTTTATGGAGTGATACGACGTCCAGAATCCGCCCAACTTACTCCTGAACCAGTGGACATCCGACGTCGAGATAAGCCGTGATCAAGCATAACTAAAACAGCTTATTTCACTCAGTTAAAGAAAACTTATTGTCTCATCGAATGATTTACCATTTTTACCAAGTACTCTGGGTCTAAACCTAATAATGCTTACTAGGTGATATTTCATTTTGAATTCTGAGCAAAATAAACTTAAATTGAGATTTTGATCGTTACTAGTAGACCTGTCCAAATTCGATCAAACAAACAACAGATAAAGAAATTGTATTTCATTGATCATAAAATGAGAAAGTGTAGGTAAAAACAACAACAACTGTTATGCTGTTGTTTTATGATTAAAGCAAAGTGGGAATTGCCCAGTGTACAAAATGGAAAAAATCATGTACATAAAATAACAGTTTTCTAAGGACAGTGACCTTTTGTTAAAAAAAGAGTTATAAACCAGTGAAATGTTTTGTTTTCGAAAGTAAAACAAAATAAGGATACATGTATCATTAGCCAAATTAGGAAAACTATCAACTGTACACATATCATACAATCGAATGTGAAATACTTGTATGTAGATATTGTGCAATAATCAATACAAAAACTATGTTTTGGTAGTTAAAATTTCAACCCAACTTGTTTTTTATAAACTAAGTATGAAAATACCTATTTTGTGAACTGACTGTTGAAATAGCCAATCGAGAAGAAAGCTATGCACATTGTGGATTGATGAACTATTTGATTAATGTTCATGATGAAGTATTTGATTAATGTTCATGATGAACTATTTGACCAATGCCCATGATGAACTATATGATTAATGTTCATGATGAATGTTCAAAGTATTTAAACGACATGTAATTGTATAAATACGCATGTTTGACTGAATATTTTTGATTCTGTGAATAAGTGTTCTCCAACGTCTTCTTATTTTTGAACGGAGGGATCTAACGTTCGGTGTGTCATTAGTACAGTGGTTTGGCGTTACATCAAGTACAAAACATAAAACTGACAATTGTGACCCCGAAGTTATGGGTAATGAACTGAACCTCCCTAAGGAATTTTCTTATCAAGAATGGGTAATCATCGAGGGTTATTGATAAAAATAAAATCTACGCCACTTAAAACATGAATATCTTTCGTAGAAAAGAAAACTGTCTATATAAACGAATTTTAGACTCGCTTAACAAAACATTCTTCGCAACAACTTTGTGGCTAGTTTTCTTGCACGGACCAATGTCTACCAATATACTTAAAAGATAAATAATCGCATTTGACCAATTCCATGTATACTTATCAATTTGCCTGTTTCTAAGGAGCTAGGTATTATAGGCCATTAGGTGCGTATCTTATCCGAAAGAATTCGAGAACATTATCCGACTTAGTTTAAAAAGAGGGGTGAAAGTGGGTCAATAGAAAACTCAATAATCGAACACCCTGTGAACACAGGTCATTCGGTAGAAATGAATTTTAAATTCAAAGTCTTTCATAAGGTATGTGCAAAACTGTCGAAGGCGGTTATCTTACGCTTCTTAGCATTGCCGATGAGCTTGCCATACATACGGAAGAACCAAGACTGTATGTACCAAATAAACTGTTCAAACTGTTTCTTCTACCATGGTCTTATTCTGTCGCAATAAAAAATAAAAAATTTTTCTTTTTCTCTTACAACCACCTGCTCTTTTTTGTCCACTTCTCTAACGATCATTACACCCAAATGATTTATTTCTCATTCTGATTCTGTCGACCACAGTTCATTTCAATTTGAACATTTTATGAGCGATTCGACCGCCCCACTTATCTCGGCAGTGACATCAGTAGTGATGGCCTAGTGACTGATGAAATCTCAGCACAGATACAGAAGGTTCGATTGGCTTTTCCCAACTCGCGTCACTTATGGCGTACGCGAGATATCCGTCTGCTAATCAAAGGACGAGTGTATTGGGCAGCAGTTCGCTCGGTCCTACTTTATGGCCATGATACATAGCCAGTAAGAGAAGAAGAGATATTCGTAGGTTACTGGTCTTCGATCATGGGTTTCTGCGGAGCATTGCTTGTTTATCTTGGGACTATCGAGTAAGCTATGCTGTTTTCAGGAAACGGGTACTAGCTAAGGATAGCAGATCAATAGATGGAGTATTGAAACTCAATCATGAAGTCACTGACAAGCGGACTAAATCATGTTAGCACGTGTAGACTAGCTGGTTGGGGTCAGCAAGATGATAGTAATCGATGGTTAGAGACCTTGAATGATATGGCTCAAAATCGTTTGCAATGGAGCAGGTGCATCCACTTTTTGGCTTCTCTCAAATCTTAATCCTCTGGATTTTTCATCATCCTTATCTCTCTCACCTACTTTTATTTCACTAGATCATGCTTCTTGAATAATATATTCGACCCTTAAGCTCTCCAATTACTGCTAATACTTCTACTATCTCTACTACTATGGGATTTGAATTGACAATCAGGTCTCAGTGTAAATGTGGTATGACAACATGAACTGGAGTACGTACGTACGAAGTTCTACATTGCAGCTGACTGAATATTTTATCTGATCAAGCTCAGCATATAATTTCTTTATCAATCTTAATGATGTATATTCAAATACTCAACGATAAAAATATTCTTAATTCTCTTGATCAAAAACAAATTTTTATACCTTTATCTAATTTACCTCACTATGAACATGTTTAACAAAATTCTTATTATCACGATTATCGTAATTATCACCAATGGGAAAAAAGTAATTCCCCTTTTTTTGTGATTGTACAGTATTGAAAATGAATTCACCGAAAAGAGAATTAATTCTTCACTGAACTAATCTTTTTTTATTTTTTATATCTCAATAGAATTGAATTCGGTCGTCAAGTATGCGGTTCATTGTTTCATACAAATAATCAGTACAATAGGTTATTTCTTCGCAAAATATACAGTGTAAAATATGAAGAAATAAAAAGAGTAAAAGTAGAATTTTAAAAAAACACAATCATTTTGTCTAAAATCTGAAGGGGAATATCTAATTTTTAAAATAAACAAATAAATTGAACTAGCATATATATCATAAAAATGATTAAAATTTCAGCTGTAAAACCATCTCTACATTGTGTACATTGTGTATCTGGCTACATTGAAGTTGGCAGTGAACAAACTTTATTATCATCATAAACATTAGGCATACAATTGTTAAAATATTTTAATACAGTTGTTAAAGAAGCATTTGTTTCACCTGGATGATCTAATGTAGGCGGTTGTATTGAACTGGCTAATGGCCAAGCAACTGTTCTTTCATTGATCAATATTTGTACACGAAATTTATCCAGATTGTCAGAAGTTTCTTGAAAGAAAACAAAAACGGGGAGGGGGGGGTCAATGAAACTTGCAATCGAATCAATTATTCAGTTATATAATGGAAACTATGAATTATGGGTAACCTTTTTTAATTTATCATAAATAAATAACAAATAAACTGAATTGAAAAAAATGAGCAGTCAGATAATCAGACTGAATTCAAACATCAATAGGTTGATGATCAATAATGCATGCAAGTGTGTACGTGATTTTTCAAATCATCTCATCCAATGTTTCTAACTATAACTAGGCACCGATTAGTAGTAGTTAACGAATTTATAAAATGGACTGCCTTTAACACTGTTTTCTACCAATCACAACTGTCTTACAACACTTATCACTGCAATAATGGAATAGAGATTGGTAAACTCTGGCCTATCCATCGCAAATAATCAAAATAAACAACTACATCAATTTTCTTGGTAATTTTACCAAAAATATCTGTAACAACTCCATGACTACTCGTTTGCGTGATTGATGATAGTATTACATGAGTAATGGTTCGATGTTTCATATAATCTTACTACCAGCAGTGTACACATGCTCTTACTTACTTAAAATATTATATAAAAACTGTTAATGAAAATGTAAAGCTAGTACTGGAAAATAATGATCAAATAAAAAAAGTGAACAAGATCAACAACAACAACTTCAACACACACCTAAATCAGGACAGTAGAACAATAAGAAAGCTACATTGCCAGCAAATGGTGCTATATAACTTGTGCGAAACATTGTCGGGGAAGGAACATCCGGATTATGAATCATTTTTAATCGTTCATCAAAGTTGTCAGCTGTTAATTTGTGTAATTTTGAATGACCAACTGAATCATTGAATATACCTAATGCAGCCACAACAGGTAGAATAGTTTCTGCATGTCCAAACCAAAAACTTCCACGATGTAATGTTGGATTATTTCTACATTTTAAGAAAAAAAATGTACAAAATTAAATATGTAGTTGGTTATGCAGGAACATTGTTGTGATACAACACATAGGAATTAAACAAAATCATTACTCGATTAAAAAGAAACCATCAATTTATATACATACATACATAGAGTATGACAGGTTCATAACAAACGCTTCAGTAGTGGACTACATAAACAGTTATATTTCATCTGCTGTTGACTGTTTTATTGATTAAAAACTTGTTTCTTAAATTAAAAAAAACAAACTAGTAGAGTAGGTTTTCGGATAATCTTGAAAGATTTGTTTACTCAAAGATAGTAGGAGAACAAAGTTGAAATAAACAGTATTTTAGAAACACAAGTTAATCAGTCATCTTTAATGTAGACTCTCGCTTAGATGTGCATTGGTCCAAGTTACCAAATCACATTAGTACGATCGGATGATGGATTCCAAAAGAGAACAATATAATGTAATGGTAATAATAATAATAATAGTAATCATGAGAATATGATTCAGAAAGTTATAATGAAGAGTCCGATATGAGGGAATGTTGGAACTCAATATCTAAACACAGATTAAGAACAAATGTTTTTTGGTGCTATAATGGACAACTCTGAATTGTCATTCCATTTCTCTAACTAATGAAGGCAGTCACCATAGAAACCCAAATCAAGTAGTCTGCACCTAGTAACATGACTCAAAATAACAGTTAATAATTACATGGATTGATACCATATTAATGTTTGGTCACAAATGCCTTCCTTGCAACATACTTTTACAACAGTATACATACGGCATCGAGATAAGCAGTTAGAGATACGTGATATGTGTTTTAACTAACTTGGTTGATGAAGATTTATAACACTTCTGCTTAGCACCGTCAAAATTGTTTACTTGGCTGTTTCATGATATGTAATCAGTGCTAAAAAGACGCTTATAATTAAAAACCTGAAGTTTAACTATGTCTCCCACTTTTAGAGGTCTTAAGCAGATACAGAAAGATACACAAAGCAGATCCATGTGTAGTACACTCTCTTTTAGTTGGTAGGTGAACATCTTGCCTACACCACAAGTGATACAACATAACAAATGTCAAGGGGATCTCCTGAATCGATGTCCAGATTTAGTTTGATATCAACTTGTCAGGTTTAATGAGACCTGGAAGATAATTAAATTGGTCAACACAACAACCTTGAAGTCTTTGGATACTTAAAAGATTTCTTACAACATGAAAAGAATATCGTAACTCAACAGTACTACGAGTTATCATTATACATTATTTATCACAAACAGTACTACTGCTTTAATGGTTGTTATCAACCATAAGAAAGCAGTAGAGTAACATTGGCTGTATTAATCGTTCTACTCCTAATGTCAATAAATAATTTTTCATATGATAATCGCTTAAATGATACATAGGTGATTTCGTTCAAGCCACCATAGTCAGTGTTTTTTTTCGAACTATCTCGTGCACCGAATAACTAAAGTCATTATATTCAAATACAGATCAATTGGTCTTAAAATTGATTACATTTTTCCAACCAGAGGTAAGCTATTGTAAAGAAACAGAAATATTGTAATCATACAGAAAGTTTAATTACAGAATAATGTCATCCATCCATAGGGGTTAGGACTCTCAATCATTGCTAATAATGTCAGCCATCACATGCAGTACAACGAAATCACTCACTTGTCTCAATAATCTAGTCTAGTTTATATGGATTTACATAATAGAAAGGCATCAACAGTAAACATGTTTGCAAACGCGAATATATATTTCTATATGAAAAAAAAACTTACTGATTATAGTTGCCTTTCTGAAAATCCATAGCTACATTAGAAATTTGTTGTACTATTTCACTAAGTAGAGGACATGATTGTTTATAATTTAGTTCATAGCCGTATGATTTACGCCAGTAATGCTGAAACACAGAACATAATTTATGTGCTTAGCGGGAAAATGTCACACACACATATACAGAGGATACTGATAATAAATATTTCAACCTTTCTATTGGTAAATGTAAGGTTATATATGTATGTTTCGCCCTAGTTTAGGACTTCTCAGTAATATGTATCCTATGATTTCCTACTAAAATGAACGCATGCTTGCTGTTCTTTGTGAAAGAGTTTAAAATGTTTTATTTGGTAGCAGCTGAAACATAATAACAAGAATTTATTTGTAGTTGGTTTCTTAATAAATCGTAATCAACATACTGCCTGGCAGAAATGTGCCTTGGTTCAAGTTTCCATAACACATTGACAAGACGTAATAATGTTGACAATATCGAAGGAGTCAAGATAATGTGGAATTAGTGCTAATGAGAATATGGTTAGGAAAGACAATGTGAAGTATGTGTGAAGTAGAATGGTAGAACTCAGGATATATAGTAAAATAAAGAGTTGCACTACATTGTTATAACCTTAGCTAATAACAGTCAAAACACGTAGGTTTGGATTTAAAGTAAGGAAAGATAATTCCCCATTGTCGATAAGTACTGATATGCACAAAACTAAAGTTTAATGTTAGATTTTAAACTGAACACAATGTTACTTACAAACGGCTTCTTTCTAATCTATTTATTCATTCAAATACAACCATTGGTGCAAAGGGGGCACGAAGATAAATATGTGCCACAAAAATAGTCGGGTTTTTGCGTGGGCTGATATACCAATTACGTCAGCCCTTCCCTGGTGCCTAAACCAGCAAGTGGTTTGCTCAGAGTGCTTTTCCTCAATCCTAAAAGTATATTCGGGTATACATCATTTACTGTGCTTTGTGTACATAATACGTAATGTTATTAAAAAGGTGTGTTAGTCGCTGTTAACAAAATATTGCAAAATTTGCTGTTTAATGTCGACAAGTAAACGGTATTTATTGAGATGGTGCAGAAAACTTGTAGCTCAAGTGGGTGATTGTGGTGGAGTTTCGTTCTCTGAGTTGGTTGTTTTGGTTGTGGAGCTTTCATTGTTCTTCTGAACAACATCATCAGCACAAACTTCAGATGGAAGCGATGTAATCGAATTTCTCCACGTTTGTTCTGTTAACCTCGATCTTGACTGGCTGTTTTTGACCTTAAACCTAGAGTTGTTTGCACATTTGTTTTGATTATATCTTCCTTTTGATCTGTTTCTTGATCCTATGTCACCTATGATTTTTCTGATTGATTGATAAATTGCGTCTGTGTCGATGTGTTTATTGATTGTTGATTGACCTGAGTGCCGAGCTTCTAAAAATTCTCTAGTGTTCTTTGTCCTCCCCCTATCCAGTATTTCCACATTGTCCTAATCGAATGTATGTCCATAGTTGTCGTGGCGTTTGACTGCTAATTGGTGTTCACGTAAACGAAGCTGGAGGGGTCGTCCACTTTGTCCTATGTAGTATTTTTAACAGTCTGAGCAATTTATTTTGTAGATGGTGTTTGGTTTTCTTTTTGTGTGGCACACAAACCAACAGAATCACTTCAATTTGGCGCAGATCACCAGGAGAACGTGAAATGGTTCTCTTTAGAGCCACCTTGCCGAAGTCAGCTTGTTTTAAAATAAAATGATAAGTACTGATTAGTGAGTGGTGTGGCAACATGGCCTTCTGGTTTTTCTTACTTGCCTATAAATTTAAACGATCATTTCATGCAATCATAAAATCATGATGAAATTTAGATATTGAAATTCTTTCTATTCATGAATCTAAAACTATCGATCTGTAGCATGATTCATTTGAGATTGATTTGGACACAATGTTATTTATCTATGGCGAAATGAATCCGATTCACAGTGAATGTTCATCAACATCATCAGCATCATCATATGATATGATATATGATTAACATTACTTTGTAAAATATTGAAATCTATTGAAAATGTAACATTTCTTCAAAAGAAATTAAATATTGTAGGATAGAGAGAGATTGAAGAACAGTTCAACCTTACTAACAAATAAATGAGAACTTTTTCATTTATTATACCCATCATTTGCAATTGATGAGAAGAAGCCTTAAAAAGAAATGTGTAATAGAATTCAATTTGTTCTGCAACACTATTGTTCTTCTCATTCTTCTACTTAATTGAAATTTATCAATGAATCAAATTGTACATTGAATGAATGATGAGAATAGAACACTAATGATAAATTAGTGTCAACAACTTTCACTAACTGATATGAAGTGTATAAACTCAATGTTCATAACTTAGAGTTTTGTTTAACATAACGTTCATTTCATCGATAACACATAAAATGAATGGAGTTGACTTGTCTAGTAATTTGTATGTTCCTTATCATCAATACTAACAGAATGATGAATTGATGATTAAGAGGTTAATTACAATTGAATGTGTTTCAAAATTGATATGACGTGGTTAGGACATGTATTACAAATGCCCAACTACCGACTGCCTCGACGAGCTGCGTTTTGTAGTGTAGGGGTAGGCTGGAAGAAAGCTAGGGGCGGCCAAACCAAAAGATGGCGCAAATCCATGAAGTCACTGACAAGTAGACTGAGCCATTTTGGTAGGTTTAGACTACCTGGTTCGGAGTCCGCGAGATAATAATAACCGATGGCTAGAGACCTTGAATGACATGGCTAAAAATCGTTTGCAATAGCGTAGGTGCATCCATTAATCCGGCTTCTCTCAAATCTTAATCCTCTGGATTTTTCACCATCCTTATCTCTCTCTTCTACGTTTATTTCACTAGATTGAACTTCTTAAATAATATATTCGACCCTTATGCTCTTTAACTGCTGCCAATATTTTACTGTTTCCATTACTATGGGATTTGAATTGACAATTGCGACTCCGTGTTGATGTCGTATGGCAACTTGAACTGATGTACGTACGTACATATATATATATATATATATATATATAATTAACTATTCCATATAGAGAAATAAAATATGCAAGGGTCCATAATGACTGAGTTTAATGTATCGTTTAATTTTCATCCATGGATAAAGATTGTATCTGTTAAAGCGGAATTTTTAAGATCCATACTTCAATATAATTGTACGTTCTCTTTAAGTTGCATCTTATCATTATCGTATATTATAATTAGACAAATGTAAGTACAGTTTAAACGGTTTCTCGTGTTAAGAGAATATTAGTTTGCAGTATGATGTTTGATGGACAATTACAATAATGCAAATAATTTTGATTTACTGATGTGTTGCACATTAATGACAAACTGACATTAGTTCACAGATGGAACAGTCTAACATGCCTCCATTAATTAATATGATTTACGAATTGTCTATATATTTCAGTAGGCTTTGAAGTCTAATAAATACTATTTGTAAATGATCAGTTCAATGATTCGATGAACTTATTGTGGCAGAAACGCAGTCAACGGTCAATTATACTAGCTATTTAAAGTTGTTATGAAAGTTATTTCACATTTAATACTTTTTACACGATTAATATATTGATCGATATCCAATCTTATCCTTAAGGGTGCAAAACACCCATATTCACTTTAGTATCAGTCAGAACTAGAGATATATTCAAGAAAACAGAGGAGCAATGTTAGGATGTACAATCCTATGACTGCCACTGACGAACGTTAGATTAATGTTATTTCTTTCTTTAGAAGCCTGAAGCCCATATGCATCACTAGTTTGGAATAAGGGCCTTGCAACTTTCCCACCTGGATCCTTTGTACCCACAAACTCAGTTTAAGCACCGAAAATACGCTTTTCATCCCATCAATTCCATAAACAATACTACAGCCTCCAGAGTGAGACTTCCCTGACGGTGGCTGTATACGCGTGACCATATGAGAGCATTTATTGAGGAAGAGCGGACTCCTTCCACACTCGACCGTATAAGAGCAGTTTGGAGTGGAGAAGAAGGAGTCACTATGGACCATGTTGATGCAGTGTTTATTGTGTACGTTGTCCACTAAGTCGGTCTGCGCCTTCCTTAATGTAGACGTGGGTGAACTCACTCCACCAGCTAGCTCCAACTACCTTTCTATTAGTATCCGGACACGTTACCCACTGTGTTACTACTTCCTTTATATGTTACAATCGGAATTTTAGACGAAATACAAATGAATATTTATCTCTAAAAATGTCATCAAAACGGGGTTACCTTTAAATCTGCTAAATACTCCCATACTGGATAATCATTAGGTGACAAGAGATTGCACCAAGGTGATAAACTGTCATAATCATTCATTGCAGCAACTTCGTATGCACAAGCCCAAAATATTGTTTTCAAATCATCTGTGAATATAATTTTGGATTTTACAACAGCTAATTTTGGAAACTATGACGATATGTTTACAGAATATTAGTCTATGTACTTAACCTTTAGTCATACGCACACTTGTGATATTTTCCGTAGCTCAAGACGAAGAAAATGGAGTGTACTTAAAATTAGCACCAACATAATTGAAGGTAGAATGCTTAACTACTAAGCTGTTGGCTTTATAGAGACCAACATTTAAGCTTATAGTGAGTGACTTTGGAAATAACTGATTCTGAAAATAATACATTGCTTAACAGAATAGTTGGATCTTTAAGTTTGATCATATTCCCTAAGATTGTCTATTGTTGTCACCGATACTGCTGCTTTAGCATTCAATTCCATAATTATATTTCACAGTGCAGAGATTGCATGGAAACGTGAATCGATAGTGAACACATGTACCAAGGTTCTATATTATGGCTGACTGATTTTAAGTCGGATTTCGTTAAAGCAAACACACGTTTATAGAAAGACTGAATGATGCAGAACTCACAACCAACTTAGATTTGTACCAATAATCCATCCCTTAACGGTATTTATATAATGACTAAAGATTTGGCCTAACAATCAAGTCTCAAGTAATTGGACGATGAGTGACTTACAAACCGATTTCTTTTAATCATTTATTATGTTTATAAGCATGTAATTTTACTAATGGAAAAAGTTACTCATTTAGCTAGCGGTTATTATGATTCCTAACCACGCGGGGACTTAATTCAACAATACAGTCTTGTAAATAGCCATCATTCAGTCACATCAAATCACTGGGTTTTTCCATTGATAAGTATTGAGTTGATTGATTTCAACAATCGAAAATTCACTCACCAATTCATTAAAAACCTTTCCTCCATAATAATTACATTTAGAAGGTCAATAGTAAGAGAAGGATATGAAATTCAGCAGGAAAATTATGCTACATTCACCTCAATTTGTATGTATTCCACCGACCTACTTCAAACTGACAGAATCGATAACAGACTACACCTAAATCGCCAGAACAAGTGTGAAACAGCAAAACTAAATGATAGGATAATGTAAAGCTCCTTAAAAAGGTCACAAAATTATGAGATTCAGTCTCGAACAATAACCTAAAGTGAGTAATCACTGGAAAGTTTCACAAAACTAATAATCAAGTGCTTTAAAGCAGTATAACTATATGATCGAAACATTTATACACTGCGCAATGACTAGGTGGATTTTAATAAGAATAACAATGCTAATCTGACTGCAAAAACAAATCACATAAAAAGTAGCGTATTCATATGTGAATCGAACACATTTTGGGAGCTAAATCAATGATTATTTACCGTCTTTGTGTTCTTATTTGTATGGTTCAATTCACGTTCTCTTAGTATCAAGTAACCAAAGCAGTTAAACATTCCGCAGACACAACACAAATAATTTATTTGACAATTAAGTAGTTAGTGAGAACTTGAATATACTAGTGAGTTGATATGCTTGAACTACTACAAGTTCACCTTACTCGGTAAACGAGAGCTAAGACAAATGATGCAGTGACACGATAGGCTATTCTAATCCGTTGTCATAGGCTCTGCTAACTATATCAAGAAGTCTTGATAAAGCGTAGAAAGTGTATTCTCCAAGCACCCAGAAAATATGAGGTTGACAAGCACACAAATCGAGTTTATTTATATATGATAGAAATGTCCTTGGGAGAGCCACAAAATAGTGTACTAAAAGAACACATCAGCCAATGTCAGTAAGGATTTTCTTGGTGGGAAAGGTAATTTCAAGGTCGACTGATCAGTCCATGCGCGAAAACACAAAACCCAAAATTAGGACCTTTATCAAGGGATTTCTGGGGATCCAACGTCTCCAAAACTCCTCCCCTTTTTAATAGCGTACGTTCCTGGGGTAGACTTGCAACTTGGCTGTTGTTCGCCGCTGTCGGAGAGGGTATTTTTTGGAACGGAGATCAGCTTGTTGTTGAGCCTTTTCTCGTGATGAGGCTGCCGGTAAGTTGAGGGTATCTAGCAGGATGTCAAGAGGAAGATTTACTCCTGCTGATGGGCGATCCAGGGCTAGCCGTTTGCGTATCTAATATCGATGGCGTGGCCATCTATCCTCTACTACCTCTACTTCGTACATAACACGGCCAACGCTTCTGTCCACGACCATGGTTTGTTCTGTAGTCACGGGCAAACACAGGACATGCCACTTCGTACGTAGATCGCCTTTCCGACTTTGCCTCTATTGGTGTTGATGCATTACTCGGATGCATCAGGCCGTGCATCGTTTTCGATCTTCTTTTCATCAGGATTTCTGCTAGGAACCTTTGCTCCGATAACCTCTCATTTGGTGTTGTTCGATAAACGTACAAGAAATTTTATAACGCGTCCGCTGGTGTCCCCTCCCCTTTTTACTTAACCAATGCTCTTTTAAACGTACCCACAAACCTTTCCGCTTGCCCATTCGACTGCAGGTGGTATGGTGGTGAGCATAAGTGCATAATGGCTAGTCATTGACAGAAAGCTTGGAATTGGGTAGAGGTAAATTGCGACCCGTTGTCAGATGCAATCACATCTGGTATGCCATTTCGAGAGAAAATTTCAGTGAGGAGCTGTATTGATATAGTGGTCGTGAGTGGCATTACAGGGCTGATTTCTGGTCATTTTGGAAGGGCGTCGACCACAACTAAATACATAGTTCCATTAAGTGGTCCCGTGAAGTAAACGCATATCTTGGACCAAGGGTGATCAGGTTGTGGCCATGAAACCGGCGGAACTTTGGCACTCACCTTTGCCGCTTGCTGACACCGCATGCATTTTCCAACCAACTCGGTGATATGTCGATCCATTAGGGGCCAGTATGCATGACTCCTGGCTGTGGATTTCATTCGTCTAACCCCTGGATGACCAAGGGGTAGAACTGTCTCAGCGCTTTTGCGCGAAGGGATTGTGTCACAACCACTCTTTCTCCAAACATCAAGCAGTTGTTTACAATGCATATTGAAACCCGCCGCTGATACAGCTACTTCAAGTCACCATCAAACTTCTTAGACGGCCAACCGGAGAACAAACAATAAATATATATATATATATGTATCTATAGACATTGAATTTACTCATAACAAACAATTAATAATAAATCAACAATGTAATTAATCTACCTACCTGGTGTATAATCTTCATGTTTTAAATGAAATCTCTTGATAAAATTTTCATATGAAGTATTTACATAAATTGAATTAAAAAATTTATAATATTCTTGAACTGCTGATTTATTGTTTTCAATTTTTTCAATATAATTTTTACAATGAGCGAAAAATCTTAACAGATAATTATTAATTGTGATATTCTTTTCGTAATGATTTTCATTATTATTATTATTATTATTGTTATTTTCAAATGGTTCATTGTTGAGTAGACAACTTTTTGGTACTAGTTCATTGCCACAATATAATGTACGATTCCATGTAGGTTTTACAGCTGGTCCATTAATAAACTAATGAATAAAGTGAATTTACCGAATGAAAATATTTAAAAACAAAAAACAGAATGTGTATACTGTTTTGAACAATAGATACTAAATTAAATGAATAAGATTTAAGACTATTTGAACTTAGAGGATAACAACACAAAGTGTTGAGTTCGATTCCAAAAGTAAAAACCAACTTCATGACACAGATACATCTCGTTAACAAGTCTCAGATAGGATGTAACATGCGTTCTGGATTAAACTGCTTGTCACATCTGATCTATTCTATTAAAATTTAATTGGCTAAGGTTATTCGTAATATTATCAAAGTTCATAATCCAAATAACGTATCCGACACTTTCAGCCATTTTTTTTCTTTTTCTTAGTGGATGAATGCTGATGAATGTTGAAGAGAAAGTTTTTTTTAAAGACTTTTTACACGATACATGACCATTTGGGGCCGTATCACTGTCGTGCAGCCAAACATGACAAATGAACAAACATAACATGAAAGTTATGGTCTAGAGTGAAAATTACACTGCAACATACAGTGCTGACCTGTCAGAATGGATAGAGAAATAACTAGTGCTGAATATAACAGATGGAACATTGAGAACGAAGTAAATAACCTCAGCCATCATTATAATCATAATGACAGTAATAATAATTATGAAAATACAAAGTATGTCAATGCTTAAACAAAGTTGTTGGAAACAATTAATAAACGTTGTGTGTTAATGATGGATGAATTGTGTCGATGAGTGAAGTTTAAGTTCTAGTGTTATGTGAAAATTAGTGAAACTATATATGATATCGTTTCTGGCCATTGGACAAATAAAATTATTATGAAACTTTTCTCGGTACAAATACTACAGTTGTTGATTTTAATCCATGTGTAAAAGTCCGTTAGAAAAATACAAAGGAATATATAGTAAGTGATCCTGAAAGTTGTAGTGCTATACACCATATGGCCAAAATAAGTTAACTGTAAGCAAACAAAAGAGTATTATTCTAATTACTGAGGTTAATGACAAAAAAAAATACAGTGACTACTCACCCCGTTATAAAATGCTCGTCCGCTGGCAATACAACGATCAATGGAACTCGAGTAAAAATTAATATTGTCAATCGTAAAATTGAAATATTGTCTCATGAGATAAGAAAAACGTCGACCTAAACCATCATGTTCTTCAAATCCTCGAGGCAAAAGTTCTTTTACAGCAGCATCTTTAAAAGGTATTGGATGTGTTAGCAATTTCCGAGGAATCGGTGACCCATTATTATAACTAAAGGAATTACACATGCAAAGACATTAAAACCTTGTACGACTCAACAAAAGCAGAGAATGTTTACATGAATGAGTAATTAATTAAATAAATAATTGATTGCTAAACAATAGTTCTTTGTATTACCATTCATTGAATATTAAACAGTAACCAATATCATATCTGTCCAGTTCTTCGTAATGACTGAATTCTATTGATTAAATTGTCGTATGTGCACAACTGCTTTGACCTTGGATACACTTTCTGATGTTAGGCAGTTAAAATTTAACGGGTAGGAAACTTTGAATTTGGGGTCTGATATTAGTTGATACTTGTCAGTAAGGCCTACCTGCGATTTCGGGTCACGTAGTATTTAAACTTGTAAAACCCATGTCCGGAGCTTTCTATCAACTGCGATCAGCAACTTAACATCAAAATATAATGCATACGATGCCAAGTCAATTAAACTACTCACCTTACTGTGGCGTAATTGACAGGATTCTGTAGGCACTGGACAAAAATGATATTAGCTACTACTCAGTGATCAACTGTAGATGCCTTAAAATACCACTACTACTGAAAATGTGAAGGTATGGAACTTTACATAAGTTAATGGATTTGGATTTAAAACGGAACTGATAAAGTCAAATTTTATCAACTCATCTTTCCAATTAGTATCACCAAAGATGTTTATTGACATTCTTAATATAGTTACGGGTAATACATCAACAGTGTACGTGACACTAGGAAGTGGCTTACATGAGATTTTAGACTGATTACCATTGATTAACACATGTACGCGAGAAACTAATTTGTTAATTAAGACGATTAACAGTGGAAAATGTACTCATTTAAGGCTATTTTGAAATTACTATTAGAATATCACTTTTTACATAGAACAAAGTAGAAAGTGCTCACGTTTCTTTACTTTTTCACTATCATGTGCTATTTTCGTGAGTAAAATTAATCGAAAATTACTACGTGAAATATTAGAGATTCAGTTTAGCCTTCGATCAAAAGTATTAAAAAACGTTTATTTTGCTTGTGCATGTAGGGGAGATGTAGTCCTAACTTTGAAGTTAAGTAACTCACTACAAAACTGAATTCTAACTAGTTGTTATTTTTGAACTTTTTGATCGAGTAGCTAAAATTCGAACTGATAGTAGTTTATAGAGATGGATATTTCGATCCAGGTCCCCTTGGGATGAAATCGAGTATGAACTAAATGGTCAAATGTACAAGTTTTTGAGATTAACGAGCTCAACGTACAAGACGCGCAAATGAATTATGAAGAAATCTTAATCTTTTTTAAAGTACCGTGGCTAAAGCTATGCTAATGTATGTAACTTAGTAGGCGTAAGAAAAATAAACTTGATAAGTTGGATTTCATGTACCTTGAAGTCGTACTCAATCAACAAAGAATGACAGTCAGTAACTCTGTGACCATTATTGGACCTATAAAACAGACTAAGAATGATTAAAATGGAACACAATAAATTCACGATGTCACTGTTCATTAGTTAAACTTGTATAAGCTTCTCGTTGGCCTCGAAATGGCTGAAATCAATGGTTGATTGAAACATAGTTCAATGAAAATTTATCGCTAATCAGTAGGCTGACTTTAGACATCCTATATTTAATCCTAATGTATGTTAATGGCTTTCTTTTTAGAGCTTTTGGCTTCTTATGTGCCATTAAGAAGTACGACGGATTAACATTTACATTTCGCCTAAAATCCGTTTTTTTATCAGTCCGTCAACCAATCAATCAACCAATAACAACGTAGAACTTCGTACGTACGTACATCAGTTCATCTTGCCATACCACATTAGCACAGAGATGTAATTGTCAATTCAAATCCCATAGTAGTAGAGGTAGTGAAGATATTAGCAGTAATCAGAGATTAGGATTAGAAAATATTATTCAAGAAGTGAAATCTAGTGAAATAGACTTAATAAGATAAAGTGATGAGGAATTCAGAAGGTTAGGATTTCATAAAACACAAAGTATGAATGCACCTGCGCCATTGCGAACGATTCTGAGCCATGTCGTTCAAGGTCTCTAACCAACGATTACTACAATCAGTCCATATCTGTAAGGTACACTCATCAATATACTGGGTATAATTGTTTTATTCTACAGACAACATGGATTTACTTGTATACAGTTTAACGGAGATATTTTTTCTAATACTAGTTGTTGGAACTTTTAAGCACTACACCACTACAAAAATTGTGAAATAATCACCTTAAAGTAGGAAAAAACCAAATACAACAACAGAATATTTGGAATCAATACCTAGATTTAGTTTGAGTTATGATGATCAAGTTTAAACTATGATAGCATGAAACAACTCAAACAGGAAAATATATCCACCTTATGATAAATATTAGTGTTTGGACGTTACCTTTGTTTGAGACGTTCGTATAAATCTGAAAAAGATTTAATGGCTTTGGAGTCTGGTGTTCTAGTCCCATGTCTGAATACTACACTGACATGCACCAAGGAGCATTTTTCAAACGGAACAGACACTTTGTCTTTATATGATTTTAGGCCACAAAAGCGATATGCTGTTTTTGATGAAAGACCTGGATAAAACTCTCCTGGTTCACGGTTAAAAATGAGGAGAAAAAAAGTCATAATTGCACAGAAAACTGAAAACAGGGCCCCCATTTGCCAGCGGTCAACTTTAAAGTTGCTGTAAAATACGAAGAAAAACGCATTAATAACACCGCTTATATACGATTTATCTCAACACTATAAGTGTATATGCGAAGCTTACTTAACTGGTCAACAAATCACGTTTAAAATATTATGAAATCAATCTATTCCTCCTTTTTACGAGATAATTTATTTGAAAAAAGTTTATTCGCAAACCATAACACGGAAAACAGCAGGACAAGATATGTAGGGTTTGAACTATTTGATATAATATTTGGGAGTAATTACCTCAGAGTAATTAAAACTAAGACATGAAAATGTAGCGTAGTTGACAAAACAGGTTATCAAATCAACCTTAGGTCAATAAAAAAATCTAAGGCTCCTTAAGCGACCGCATTCCGAAAACGCTTACTAGTCTGACAGCATGACAAAATAAAAGTGGGGGTCCGGTCGATTAGTGCTGCATCAACTCTAGAGCTCAGTGAGACACTAACATACCAGCTGGACGAGACGAAAATTCTACAAGGTCCTAAGATAAGCGCACACAAAACAAGCCTTTTGAGGTGGCAGATGTTGAGCGAATACGTACTTCGTCACTAGTCTTGAATACTAATCTCGAATAGACGTCCATCTTCAAACTTTCTAAACAGCAAAACCTATATATTGTCTAACCTGTATTATTGTGCGAACGCTGAGGCAGGCCAGTTTAAATGGCTTAAGTGGTATCGGTAAAGCTGATTCAGAGTTCGTATTCGAAGGCCGCACTCAACTGCGTGATTATCGTAACTTATCGTTTGAAATTGTGAAAAGAACGAATCAAAATTGGCAGTAATAGTGCATGTGCATTCACCTTTTGTCCTCCATCGAATCCGAAACTTTCAGAACCAGGGATTGATTTCTAAAAATACAGTATACAACATAAGATCTAGGTTTAATCCTCACTACAACATATATAAGAGCACAGTTAATATTTGAAGGTAATAACGATCACATATTCATACACAAGGTGAAAAGAACTTATTACGGCTTTCAGAAACTGTAATAGGGAGTTGATGGACAGAAGAGTATGAATAAGTATAAATAATCAATGACAGTAATTGGCCAAGTTTATTCAAAAGTGTAGTCTATTTTTATCACCGACTTGTAAAACTTTTCCTGCCACACTAGACGAGGCGATGAAAATAACACACCTGAAAAAGGTGATTACAGTTCAGTGACTATGCTTTCAGAAACTCACAAGTATGTGAAGTGAACTGCAACGTCCAGCTTTTTGTACTTGCGCTCAATAAGGATAGTAACAAAAAACAGTCATTAGTCACGCAAGGTCAGATTTGGATAATCTAGGAAGCGAAACTAAGAGCAGAGAGCGCAGACATTCCAAACAATTACAGGAGTAGGATTTCAAACGCGTTACAGGACGGCATCAAGGCCACCCAATATCCAATATCTTTTCCACGAGCTAGTATAAACCGATTTCATTTCTTCGCGCTCGATTCTTGTTCTTTCGGTACGGTTCCAGGTGTTCGGTAGTGTCCAATGAACGGTGGCATAGCCAATCGACTGTGAGTTGGCAGTTGGTTGTGAGTGTGTATGTCCCGTGATTTGAATGAAAACGTTTGTTTCAGGGCAGTAGGATATCTGGATACCAGAAGCTGTCACATTGCCAGGCCCGAGATCAGTCAGTTGCAATATAGAGAATAATAAGGAGAAAATTTTAATGCTAATAAGAGTAAGATTTCTGGACTAAGTATATAATGGATAATTTAGCTCATTAATTGGTAGTGAGGATTGTGAGAAGGGAGCGAAGTGTGGGCAAGGGAGAGGAAACATAGGTAATAGGCGAGATATGTTAAGTTAGCGATCTGAAGAGATGGCAATAATAACAACTAGCAAGTCTCAAGATATGCACCAGGTACAGCTTGTCCACGATGGAGACGATAATCCGTTTGTTTATTCCGCTATGTTTCATGTATTTGGTAACGTCCAATGAGCGGTAGTCTATCGATTTCAATGCATTAATTCTAGTCAGTTTCGTATGTGAAGTGAACTGCAATGTCCAGCCTTGTGTAGTAAGGGAGCATGTACAGTAGCGTGAGCAGGGAAAACTGGAAAAGAGAACAGAAGAAGACGACGACCTAACAAGCGCGCAAAAGGCATCTGCGCTTGCAGTGGATCCACTTTTATGCAGAGAGCGCGATCGGTTTAATAGAAACATTCATTATTATAACGAATTTTACCAGCGATTTTTAACTGAACTTTTTGTTTATAACACTCTCTATGCACAAACTTTCTGTTTGTGTTGCTGTCATTTTGCTCTGCCAGCTCTGTAAATTCGCCTCACTTTCGTAGCTCCATCTTGGTGTTCTTTCGACACCACGAAATCGCCAGCAAATATATTCTTTACCATGGATTTAGTTGTCGTTTCTGTGACGGGCCCGTAATAGCTGTAGTGGTGATCATAGTCAGTCTCAGCTCCATCATCACTAAACGCTCAATAAGGATAGTAACAAACAACAATCATTAATCACGGAAGATTATATTCAGATAATCTAGGAGCATTCCAAACCGCTACAGGTGTAAGATTTCAAACGCGTTGCGGAACGGCATCAAGGCCACCCAATATCCATTGTCTATACCACGGGCTAGTATACACCGATCAGTTTCTTACGCTTGCTGCTTGTTGTTTCAGCTAGGTCTCATGTATTTGGTAATTTTCAATGAGCGGTAGCGTAGCGAATTGAACGCATTAATTCTAGTCAGTTTCGCAGTTATTTATGAATTCGTACGTCTTTTTATTCGAGTGAGTGTTTGTCTCAGGGTAGTAGAGTTTCTGGATACTAGCTGTAGATGAATTTTCTACTCTAGGAGTTCACTTTGTTTCCAGTAGGTGTAGGTCGAACGCGCTATCCCCCAGTCCAATATCAAAACACAATAATTCTAGGAGAAAGCGGTCTATTTTTATAATAAAATGGAAATACAAACATTTACCTGATTATTAATACACCTTCCAAGTCCCTGATGGGTATCCGAATCCAAAAGAATAAGTGATACTAGATCTAACTGCCACGGTATCAAATCCAAATATGGCTGTAGCCATATTAAGTATCAAATTTAAACAACATGTGTACAGTTCCGATGCAAACATAAAAACTTCAATATAAGTACGAAATATAGAAATAGTAACAATGTACAATGATAAAATCTCAAATTGGAATCAAACAGAGTACCAAAATGTCAACAGAAAGAGTAAGTCATATCATAACACAAATATATACACATGGAGGGATTTCGCAAAAAACAAAACATTCAAAATAGATTCTACACCGGCCCGCAAAATCCTCACATGCAAAAAAAAGCGCTTACTGACATTTCAAGTTAGGGTTCACTTTCATCCCGCAATTCACACCGGAAGAACGAGTAGGACTTACAGCAGTACGCCTACCCGCCCCCCAAACATGGATATGACACATCAAGCTTACTAGGTGCCGATACCTTCCCATCAGGCCTTGATTCCCTATCTATCGTAGCATGACCTATTGGTAGTATAAACCTTACCCAATTAACCCACATGAACATGTAAACACGTCGTAAAGCTGGTCATATCCTATTATGGGGAACTACATTCCATATCATGGGGATGAGTCGTCAATCCACCACCACTTGCTCCGATCGGCAGATACAATGAACTCCGTGATGCTGACTTATCAACAAGAAGTTCTGACCCATAGATAATATGCAAGGGTGGGATCTCCAATTTTGACATTTCCTCGTCTCCGAAGATTAAGTGGGTAACATAGGTCAATATTTATCTCTCCATCTCCTGATACAGAGGAGGTTTGATCAGCATTNNTAAGATCTATAATGTGACTTTGTAGATTATCATTGTTTCTCATATTTCATTAATATAGATATATACATTATTATCGTGGGAGATCGACCTGTGTGACACATACTGAAAACATCCTAAGGATTCACTCACATCAATAGGTCATTCACGAAACCACCATATGATAAAAATGATCAGCTTACATTCATAAATTATGATTGGGATACGAGGTAGCTAGTGCTGTGTAAATTATTGACTTTCAGGGTTTGGAGGAAATGTGTATACTGAGATTGACATTAAACTATCTATGAGTGAAATTTAGTAATCCCACTCACCCGCCCACCAATGAAAACATTTTCACACTTTCCTCCTTGCACTACTCAAACCTATTAAATTGATAGTTTTAAAAGTAATCTCGCTGGTTAGTAAGAATTCAATCATCATACAAAAGCCAATTATTTATGAAAGGATGAATATTTTAATAACACTGAGCTCGAGTAATCAAGCACTTTCTACTGCAAGTTCAAGTTTGAATGTGGTCACCATCACAGACTAATTATCTTTAAGCATTCTGTTCCTAGTAGCGTTTCCATCGATGGAAGAGCTCAAAAATACTCCAGGACAATTTCGAACCGGCCATTTTTGAATTTGAGATTTCCAGTTCCATCGGAATCAAAAACCATAAATGGAGTTTGTATGCTGTAGAAGTGGTTGAAAAGTTGCTATTAAAAATACAAACCGTCCGCAACGACGGAGGTGAATGTAATAGTCTTATAAGGCTATTTCGTCCAGAACTTCAGTGAAGTGCAGTTTTCAACAGTTTCATGTTTCAAGGAGTCAGAGATGGCTACTGGACTGTAATTCGTACGAATGTACATTACAACTAGGAATGTAACTCTTTGGCTTATCACATGGATGTAGAAGCTAACAGAATCAGAGTTTGGTTCCATCAGGCTGTTACTAATTTCGGGCACTACTTCAATTAACATGGTGCATTACGTATATTCTTCATTTTGCAAGTGCATTTACACACAGGTCGTGTTCAATTTGAGGAAAAAGCATTTTATCAGGTTAATCTCCCAAGTAATTAGTTTCTTTATATTTATAAATAAAATGTAAGAAGATACGAAAAGCTGAGAAGTCATACAATTTTCTGAGAGGATGCTGTGATTATAGATGTTATTTGTTCTCAACCGTGGATGATAAACTGTTAGTTAGTCCCTGTATTTCTTCAGACAAGCAACTGGTAACAGAAGCTCTGTGCGGATTGTGTCAGACGAATTCCCGCCTACCTCTGCTGCAATCATGGTAGTTTTTTACTGATTCACACCACTTATTATGTCAAGTGTACATAATACGTAATGTTATCAAAAGGGTGTGTTACTCTCAATATGTGGAACACAATTCGTGAAACTAGATCATTATCAAGAGACTTGCAATTTATTCTTGAAACTGTGATTGCATTGCAAGATAATTGTAGGTTTTTCAGTTTTACTTCTTCCTAATCACAAATTTTAATTGGTCACGTGTGAATACCATTCAAATGGTTACGAATATTAAAAGACTATTTAATTGTATAGTGTTCGGTCGACTATCAGAATAACGCAGATGCACATGTTACAGAAAAATGGCAAGTTGATATTAATTCATAGATAGAATAGTCTTACTTATCTTCATAATTTAGTCTACTCTATAAGTTGTCAGTTAATAGTTCAGTAAACTTCAAGGTCTTATAAATACAAATCAAAAAATGGTCAGTTCAGTGATTCGATGAACTGATTGTGACAAGAGCTCAGTAATTGGCAAATTATAGTAGCTTTTTTAAAGCTGATATTCAAGTCATTTCATGCCATATACTGTCCATTATTTTCTACTTAATCAATATATAATACATTATTAATGCATTGATCGAAACGCAACCTTTTATTATTATTTTTTGTCATGTTATATCATATGACTAAAATACTTGGTTAGTTAGTATAGAGATATTGCACTAATAAAAATAACTGCGTGATAATATGAAGCCGCTGACAAAGAA